AATGGCATGTGGGGGAAATCCAGACCAGCCATGATTTCAATTCCGGCAAAATGAAGCGAATTTTTACAAAACAAAAGAATCCAGAAAAGGCTTTGCCTAAGATTTGGGCGAAGCTGAAGTATGATAATAAGTCACCTGTCCATAGTTTTAAATTTTTATATTCTTATGTAAGATGTTAAATTATCTGTCCTTTACAGATAAAGTTAGTCAGCAGATGTATGAGTTTCCTAGATCCGACATTACATTACGCTAGTTGTTGTTCATTAATATTGTACAGTAAGATAGGTGAAAAGCCTGAAATGTTTTTTTTTCAATTTTAACTTATTTCACTGTTTCATAGCTAATGCAAGCTCTGTTTCATGTTTAATTTATATATACAAGAGTGTGCTAAATATATTTGTATACCATACTCGATGTGTAGTGATGTCAGTTTATTGAGTGATTACAAATGGACTGTTCACTTTTGATGGATCTTGATTTGATGTAGGTGATACCATGTATAATATTCAGATCTGTAAAGTTAAGTAATGAACAGACAATAAAACAGTGCATGTTATGAATAAATAGGAGATCTTTTTTGAGTTAATTCATAGGCTTCTGGTTAAAGTAAGGGGTCTCCTGGTTTGTACAGTAACTTATACTTAACATACAGTTAAAGTAACATAACGACATTCAAATACGTTTTCATAATTACACGTTTTGTAGTGTGCAGTTAGAGACCATTAATGTCTGAGTGAGTTTGTAGCAATCCACTGTATAGACCAGTCCAGCGGCGGCACCACGCAGACCGATCAGTGAAGTATTGAAGAATTATATTAATATTATTGTAAGATTTTACATATAAATATTCACCAAATTAATCAAAAGCACATTCTTCCAACTCTCTGCTGTAGTATCAACCAAACGGAAGATTGACTGGTGTAGGTGAGTTGGGAGAAATATAGTGTATAATAGTAACACGCTTATTGAAGGATGATGCTATTTATTGAGGCTTTTACATTAAAATATTCACCAAAATAATCAAACAACGCATATTCTGCCAAACCTCTCTGCTGTAGTCATACCACCAGCGAACTATGATGTGTCGTACGTGAGGTTTGGGAGAATACACTGTTATTACATAGTAAACGTTTATTGAAGATGTGCATATTTATTCGAGATGTTACATAAAATATTCACCAAAATTAGAATCAAAAGCACATTTCTTCCAAACTCCTTGCTGTATATGACCAACAGGACTATTGATGTGTGAGGTCGGATGTTGGGAGAAAGATACCTGTATATATGTAAACGCGTTAGTGAGTTGATCCATATTTATTGAGAGTTTACATATCAAATATTCACCAACTTAATCAAAAGCAAATTCTCCATCTCTGCTGTAGTAATACGACACAGGCACTACTGGACTGTGTGTAGTGGAGTTTGGAGAAAGATACTGTATAATAGTAACGTTACTTGAAGATGAATGCAATATTTATTGAATTTCTACATTATAAATATTCACCAAATAGATCAAAAGCACATTCTCCCAAACTCTCTGCTGTAGTATGACCAACGGACACTATGAGATAGTGTAGTGAGTTTGGAGGAAATATACTGTGTAACTAGTAACGTTATAGAAGATGACTGCCATATTTATTGAGGATTTTTACATTATACAATACTTACCCCCAAAATTAAGTCAACCTAGCTTCTTCCAACTCTCTGCTGTAGGTCATGGACCCACCAGGACACTATGATGTGTGTAGTGGTTTGGTAGAAATTATCCTGTATAATAGTAATCGTCTATTGAAAGATGATCGCATACCTATTATAATTGAGATTTTACATTATAAATATTCACCAAATTAATCAAAGCACATTCTTCAAACTCCTGCTGTAGTATGACCACAGGACACTATGACTGTGTTGTAGTAGAGACTTGGGAGAGAACTAGTACTGTGATGAATACTAACGTTATTGTAAGACAATGAAGAAATGCATATTTACTTGAGGACTTTTACATATACAAATATCACCAAAATTAATCAAACCATATATCTCCAAACTCTCTGCTTGTAGTAATGAGTAAACAGGACTATTGATACTGTGAGGTCCGAGTTGGTAGAAATAATACGTATAATCAGTGAAGTGATTCGATACGTATTATTGTTTGCTCTTTTTCGGGAGTTGCCTTTGCAGACGGGTCCACTGAGCACTCCGTTTCTTCCCGGCTGCGGAAAGAGACAATGAATGTGTCCAGCTCGGAGGACGGCGCATCTTGGCTTTTTCTTTCTATCACATGTGAATTGTAGTTTGTTGTCAACTCTTACACGGTACGTTAGGAGACGAGTAATTTGTGCTGAACAACGCTCTTTGTTCATGACCTTAGTTGATCGTGAAATCCGAATCTGCAATTATCGTTCCAACATTTACTCTAACATGAAAGACTCATGTATGTCCTTAGCGTCCCTCATAACGACATTGATGAAGTTTGCGCAATGAGCTTAGCACAGACTGTCACTTAGCGTAGATTTTCCTCCAGAGCACGGATTGGAGTTATGTATTTTTGCGCCGCGATTTTTGCCGTCTCTTTCTTGGCACGTTTCTATGTAAAAACGTCAGCTTTTGGGTAACTGAGGCCCCTTGTACGAGGGCTCGGCGGAGCAAAATTCTCCACACTGAAA